ACTCTCATGCTACCCACACAACCAATTTCTTGCTCTGTCTTGGGATCTCTTGGTCTGGGCAATGAATTTAGTTGTACTTCTTATTTGTGGCTAGGCTAACGGGTTGGACATTGAATTAAACTACTAAGTTTTCTTATATACAAATATTGTTTCTACTAATGATCTATTTATTTTCTTATTCTTTTAATATTAATTTTATGTAATATTCTCTTGTGCTACCAATACAACATATTTGATTTCTTTGCCCTACTTAAGGGGACGTCTTGGTTATGGCTTGGACTTCAATTGTGCTATATATGTACAACCAAGGGATTGCACAGCCAATTATATTTTTTAATTTTGTCTATGTTCTATTATTCACTTTAATTCTCATAGTTGGGGGAGAGTTTGGTGTTCGGTTGTGTTGCTTATTTGTGGATATTTTTAAGTTTTCCCATATACTAATATTTTTTTAACCAATCTCTTAATTTTCTTTTTCTTTTAATATTTATTTTTTGTCCTATCCTCTTGTGTTATCAAGACAGCCCATCCGATTTTTTCGCCCTACCTTAGGGGACGTCTTTGTTGGGGCTTTGAGTTCGATTGTGCTATGTATTTGTAGCTAAGAGGTTGGATATTCGATTATAATTTTTGATTCGCCATCTTTGATGTGTCGGTACTACGGTAGCATGAAACTCGTTTTGGGCCCTAGATTGGACGTGCCCTGTGACTTGTAGATTCGATTGCGATAAGAGTTAAAAATTTTCGAATAAACTATATTGTTTTAATTTGGAGACCTGGAGCCTTTAAGTCTTAAACTTTTTGTTTCATTCTCTTTTGCTTTTAGTATAATTTATTGATTTCCTTTGCTTTTGTCTTTGAATTTGATTGTGCTACCTATAATTCATTTTTTCGGGGGTGGGAGAGAGGTCGGTGTTCGAGTATAGATATATGTGTGTTTTAGAAATATTTCCTTGTTAACTACTCATTGTTTCCTTCATAACTTTGATCATTTTGTTCCCTTTTTTTATGCCATCAATATGCTTCACATCAATATGCTTCATTTGATTTCTTTGTGAATGAACTTGAAATACTTATTTGTGCCTAGACATTCAGTTAGATTTTTTATTGGTTTGGTCTATGTACTAATATTTTCAAGCTGAGATCCTGCTTTTTCTTTATGCTTTTAATTTTGATCTATTGTATTACTCTCATGCTACCCACACAACCAATTTCTTGCTCTGTCTTGGGATCTCTTGGTCTGGGCAATGAATTTAGTTGTACTTCTTATTTGTGGCTAGGCTAACGGGTTGGACATTGAATTAAACTTTTAAGTTTTCTTATATACAAATATTGTTTCTACTAATGATCTATTTATTTCCTTATTCTTTTATTATTAATTTTATGTAGTATTCTCTTGTGCTACCAATACAACATATTTGATTTCTTTGCCATACTTAAGGGGACGTCTTGGTTAGGGCTTGGACTTCAATTGTGCTATATATGTACAACCAAGGGATTGCACAGCCAATTATATTTTTTAGTTTTGTCTATGTTCTATTATTCACTTTAATTCTCATAGTTGGGGGAGAGTTTGGTGTTTGGTTTTGTTGCTTATTTGTGGATATTTTTAAGTTTTCCCATATACTAATATTTTTTTAACCAATCTCTTAATTTTCTTTTTCTTTTAATATTTGTTTTTTGTCCTATCCTCTTGTGTTATCAAGACAGCCCATCCGATTTCTTCGCCCTACCTTAGGGGACGTCTTTGTTGGGGCTTTGAGTTCGATTGTGCTATGTATTTGTAGCTAAGAGGTTGGATATTCGATTATAATTTTTGATTTGCCATCTTTGATGTGTCGGTACTACGGTAGCATGAAACTCGTTTTGGGCCCTAGATTGGACGTGCCCTGTGACTTGTAGATTCGATTGCGATAAGAGTTAAAAATTTTCGAATAAACTATATTGTTTTATTTTGGAGACCTGGAACCTTTAAGTCTTAACCTTTTTGTTTCATTCTCTTTTGCTTTTAGTATAATTTATTGATTTCCTTTGCTTTTGTCTTTGAATTTGATTGTGCTACCTATAATTCTTTTTTTCGGGGGTGGGAGAGAGGTCGGTGTTCGAGTATAGATATATGTGTGTTTAGTAATATTTCCTTGTTAACTACTCATTGTTTCCTTTATAACTTTGATCGTTTTGTTCCCTTTTTTTCTGCCATCTTTGTTAATGAACTTGAAATACTTATTTGTGCCTAGACATTCAGTTAGATTTTTTATTGGTTTGGTCTATGTACTAATATTTTCAAGCTGAGATCCTGCTTTTTCTTTATGCTTTTAATTTTGATCTTTTGTATTACTCTCATGCTACCCACACAACCAATTTCTTGCTCTGTCTTGGGATCTCGTGGTCTGGGCAATGAATTTAGTTGTACTTCTTATTTGTGGCTAGGCTAACGGGTTGGACATTGAATTAAACTACTAAGTTTTCTTATATACAAATATTGTTTCTACTAATGATCTATTTATTTTCTTATTCTTTTAATATTAATTTTATGTAATATTCTCTTGTGCTACCAATACAACATATTTGATTTCTTTGCCCTACTTAAGGGGACGTCTTGGTTATGGCTTGGACTTCAATTGTGCTATATATGTACAACCAAGGGATTGCACAGCCAATTATATTTTTTAATTTTGTCTATGTTCTATTATTCACTTTAATTCTCATAGTTGGGGGAGAGTTTGGTGTTCGGTTGTGTTGCTTATTTGTGGATATTTTTAAGTTTTCCCATATACTAATATTTTTTTAACCAATCTCTTAATTTTCTTTTTCTTTTAATATTTATTTTTTGTCCTATCCTCTTGTGTTATCAAGACAGCCCATCCGATTTTTTCGCCCTACCTTAGGGGACGTCTTTGTTGGGGCTTTGAGTTCGATTGTGCTATGTATTTGTAGCTAAGAGGTTGGATATTTGATTATAATTTTTGATTTGCCATCTTTGATGTGTCGGTACTACGGTAGCATGAAACTCGTTTTGGGCCCTAGATTGGACGTGCCCTGTGACTTGTAGATTCGATTGCGATAAGAGTTAAAAATTTTCGAATAAACTATATTGTTTTATTTTGGAGACCTGGAACCTTTAAGTCTTAAACTTTTTGTTTCATTCTCTTTTGCTTTTAGTATAATTTATTGATTTCCTTTGCTTTTGTCTTTGAATTTGATTGTGCTACCTATAATTCTTTTTTTCGGGGGTGGGAGAGAGGTCGGTGTTCGAGTATAGATATATGTGTGTTTAGAAATATTTCCTTGTTAACTACTCATTGTTTCCTTTATAACTTTGATCATTTTCTTCCCTTTTTTTATGCCATCAATATGCTTCACATCAATATGCTTCATTTGATTTCTTTGTGAATGAAGTTCTAATACTTATTTGTGCGTAGACATTCAGTTAGACTTTTTATTGGTTTGGTCTATGTACTAATATTTTCAAGCTGAGATCCTGCTTTTTCTTTATGCTTTTAATTTTGATCTATTGTATTACTCTCATGCTACCCACACAACCAATTTCTTGCTCTGTCTTGTGATCTCTTGGTCTGGGCAATGAATTTAGTTGTACTTCTTATTTGTGGCTAGGCTAACGGGTTGGACATTGAATTAAACTTGTAAGTTTTCTTATATACAAATATTGTTTCTACTAATGATCTATTTATTTCCTTATTCTTTTATTATTAATTTTATGCAATATTCTCTTGTGCTACCAACTTGATTTCTTTGCCCTACCTAAGGGGACGTCTTGGTTAGGGCTTGGACTTCAATTGTGCTATGTATGTACAACTAAGGGGTTGCACAGCCAATTGTATTTTTTAGTTTTGTCTGTGTTCTATTATTCACTTTAATTCTCATAGTTGGGGGAGAGTTTGGTGTTCGGTTGTGTTGCTTATTTGTGGATATGGAGTTCGTCATTCAATTAGACATTTTATTAGTTTGGTCATGTATTAATATTTTCCAACT